AAAAAAAATGCATACGAAACTCACCTTGCAGTCGGTTGCAAGATTCCCTCCAATCCTGATGATCTCAGGTTGAAGCTCACGGCTTGGAAGCACCAGCACTCGAGACAGTTCAAACATTCACTAATCACTCACGACACAACCAAGAATGTTTTAACAACGCAAAATCCACAAAGACCAATAAAATAATATCAAAGATCAAATAATATTTTTACTCATTGAAAATCAGATGAATGAGGAAAGTAATCCTTCGAATCTAATTCGCACTCTCACTTCAGTCCGTATCTAAACACACACTAAACAATTCCGAGAAACGGACAAAGGAATTTTTGTAAACACAACGACGCCGGGCGGCCGTTCGGCAATACCGAAGTTCAGCGTAACAAAGGAAAAATCTCAATCACTCAAAATGCTCTGATAAACTGTTTAAAAAATTATTTCACATCCCAAAATCACTTGCACTAAGTCCCGCACTTTGTATTTTCAATGTTCACAGGCCGCGCTGGTTTTCTCCACTGACTAGGACCCCGATATTAACAGATTTTCACTACGCGACACACGACCGACCGTTCCACGCACTGCCGCCGAACGACTGACTCCCCACTCGAAAATGGCAGGGCTTTGGAGGTGGCGCTCGAGTGGGGGGGGGTCGCCAGGCGATACTCCGCGCACGCGCACAGTACACCGCGGGCAGTCTCAATTTGACAAGATAAGATAATTGCGAGCATTCTTAACCTAATAAATAATTCTCTTTTAAAAAAAAACAGTGCAATCACGTAAAATCCAAGGGTTAAAGGGATGACATGTCGATGAGGGGAAGGTGATAGTGACCGCCGCGCTGTCTTGTGCCGCCTGAAAGAACTTGTCTCTTGTTTTTGGCTTGAAAATACCTGCTTGTATCATACCTTACTCTGAATGTCCACCTGTCAAAACCACACTAACCTGACATAATTTATCGAAAAAATCATTAAAAACAATTCCTCCTAATGTTGGAAATAAAATCCAACATGAACGATTTGCAAAAGCTGGAGGAAGAGGCCAAAGCAACAGCCACCAAACATGTGATAAATATGTTGCAACGTCCAGGTCAGTTGGAAAAAGTGGATCAGTACAAACGTAGAATAGGGCGTAAAAAAGCCTCAGTAGAAACAATGTTGAAGACAGCAATGCAAAGTCAATTAGACGGTGTAAGAGTTGGTTTCCATCAGCTCCAGAATTCCCTGGAGAGTATCGAGACGATAAAAAAGGAATTGGACCTGATTGGCCAGTCATTTGGTTCAGCCCTGGAGCTGTCATCGAAGCTGCAGGCAGTCCAGGACGAGAACATGAGACACTCACAATACGTAACAGCGAAGGAAAATTTGAAACACATTTTCACGGTTCCTGAGAGCGTTGAGAAGACACGACAGTGGATAAACGAAGGTAAATTGCTTCACGCCCACCAGAGCCTAATGGATCTCGAGAATTCTCGAGATGATTTACTCTATGAGCTCCACAAACTTCCAAATCAGTCGATACCTGATAAAGTTATGCTGAAGGCGTATTTCGAGGATGTTGAGACACTCTCGCAGCTGATGGAGAAGCAAATTCGTTTGGTTTTGAGTAGAACCTTGAATACAGTTAGAAAGGAACCGACTGTTATTGTCACAGCATTGAGGATTATTGAGAGAGAGGAGAAGGCAGATCATTTTGCCATCGAGAGACATCGACAGAGTGGTTTTATGCCACCAGGCAGACCCAAGAGTTGGAAGCAGATGGCGATGAAGGTCCTGGAGAAATCTGTGGGTGAGAGGATCGAGGGTACTCAGGCTGAAGACAGGAAAACAAATAAAATGTGGCTTGTGAGGTTTTTGGAACTCACCAGACAGCTCATCCTCGAGGATCTCAGGGTTATTAAGACTCTCTGTGGCCCCTGCTTCCCGCCTAAATACGATATTGTCAATAAATTTGTTAAAATGTACCACAACAACTTGTCCCAGCACCTGAAGGAACTCATCGTGGGGGGATTGGAAGGCAATGAATACGTTTCTCTCCTCGCTTGGATCATGAATACTTACACGGGGCCAGAGCTGATGCAGCACCCAGAATTGCACATAGATACCATTGATATTGGGCCTCTCCTGAGTCCTGAAATTCTCGATGACCTCCAGGACAAATATCTCAGGAATATGTGCCAGAATTACGAGGACTGGATGAAGAAAACAGTGGAGACTGAGAAGGTCGAGTGGTGGAGTGGAACACTGAATGAGAGCAGTACTCAGGACACCTATTACCATACTTCAGCTCCAGTCATAATATTTCAAATGATCGATCAGAACCTCCAGGTTACCAAGACAATCAGTACGGATTTGACAGCTAAAGCTCTCGTTGTATGCATTGAGCAGGTGACGAAATATGGAGTTATGTATCGTCAGGCCATCCTCGAGTTCAAGGCAAGACACTTTGAGGACAGGAGTCAGGTTCCCTACTTCACTCATCACATGATTACGGTTGTCAATAATTGTCTGCAGTATGTCGAGCTTGCACAACAGATGAAGCAATTGTACTGGGTTGCAAATGCCAGTGGGGATGCTGCTGTCAAGTTCGAAGCACTGTTGAGCCATTATCAACAATTGAGGAACGAGGCTGGTGCTATTTTACTCGAGGAATCTTTCTTGGATTTGGAGCCACAATTCATTGATCTGCTAACACCCAAATGGCTGAATTCTCCTATTCCCGTTGAGACAATCTGCGTCACCCTCGAGGATTATTTTCAGGATTATAATCACCTCAGGGCCAAGAACTTTGAGTATATTATCACTGAGGCTCAGAATTTAATAGCCAAGAGATATATCGCTGCGATGCTCCAGAGGAAGATATCCCTCAAGACTTACGATGAGTGTCTCACGTGCACTTCCAAAATCATGACTGAAGCCGATAAATTAAAGAATTTTTTTGTGAGAATCGCGCCCAAAGTTGGTAATTTCGATTCGCCATTTGAAATTATTAAGAGACTGGCTGAGGTGTTGAGGTGTGAAGACGCTGAGATTTTATCTCTCGATCTCCATTCACTTGTTGAGAGATATCCGGACATGACTGAGGATCATCTGGTCAGGCTGTTGAGTTTGAGGGGAGATATTTCTAGGAGTGAAGCCAGGGAGAAGGTCAGTTACATCCTGGAAGCACAAAGGAACAGGCGATCTCCACAGACTATTAGTAACAGCATCTTCAAGCATATCGTCCTCCAGGACAGTTTTCTCAGTTGGAAACCTTGAGGTCGAATTGCTCCATAAGATAACACCAGTCTATGCCTTGATCGTCTTAAAATTCAAATGAGCGTTACGATATTTATGTACTGAAATGAAAATCATGATTAATAGAGTATAAATATTATATAAATATAGCGAATGTAAATATTATGATATTAAAACTTCAGATAATTAATAATTACCAAATGAGTAGTCTATAGTAATTTCGGCTCTGCACAGAGTTGCAAGTTGAATGAAAAGAATAGTAAAGCATAGATTTCGGACTTTTGAATTCTCGCGCTGTGGTCAGTGCACTTTTGGTACTTTTTAGTACTCGGTGAGTCGCCGACAGGTTGACAGTCGTCGTAAACATGGCGGACGCAGCGGCACGACAACTCCAATACGAGTACAAAGCTGTAAGTGATTTTCTCCTCTAAATTTCGTTATCTATTAAGATTTGCCACCCTTATACAATTATACGCGATTAATTTGTCTAATAGTCTTCAACTTTCACACATTGTTGTTCCACTGGGGAGCATTCATTGTTATTGAGGTTATGTTTTTGTTAATCGTGCACCCAACGTTAAAATGTAAAAAACCATGAATAATAATCTTACTTCAAACTCTAAATTTATCATTAATCAATATATTCATTATTTTATGAATTATATATATTTTGAAAATTATTGATTTTTAAGAATCATTTCTCCATAATCTTATTATTTTTCTTCACCTCCAGAATTCGAATCTTGTCTTGCAAGCTGACGTACGTTTGATCGAACGGCGAAGTCGAGATGAGGCAACCGGTGAGGTCATGTCCCTGGTGGGAAAATTGGATGGAACAAGGATGGGTGACAGGGCGCAGAGGACAAAGCCAGGTAAAGCAGAAGAACGTAAAGCTAAACGTCAAAAACGTGACGAGGCGCAGTACGATTTCACGAGAATGAAGGGTGCGACGCTTCTCTCGGAGGGTGTAGACGAAATGGTGGGAATAGTGTATCGTCCAAAGACCCAGGAAACACGTCAGACTTACGAGGTCCTCCTGAGCTTCATCCAAGAGGCCCTGGGTGATCAACCACGTGACATTCTCTGTGGAGCAGCTGACGAGGTGTTGGGGGCCCTGAAGAGCGATCGTCAGGACAAGGATAAGAAGAAAGAGACGGAACTACTCCTGGGACCGCTGCCGGACGAGAGATTCGCTCTATTGGTGAATCTTGGGAAAAAAATTACAGATTTTGGTAATGAAGAGAAGAATCCAACGAGCGAGGAGAATATTGATGAGACCTATGGGATAAATGTTCAGTTCGAGGAGAGCAGTGAGGAGGACGATGAGGATGTTTATGGAGAGGTCAGGGAGAATGACGACGAGGGGGACGAGGGGGAGGAGGCGAACGTCGATCGTTTGATTCATGCTGAGAATCTCGGGGGCACTGAGGAGGCGAAGAAAGAGAAGACCCTTCATCCCCTGGACATCGATGCCTACTGGCTTCAGAGAAGACTCAGCAGGATCTACAAGGATGCTGTTGAGTCCCAGGCACGTGCTGCTCAGGTTCTGAATGTTCTGAAAGATGCGCCAAGTGATCGTCAATGTGAGAATGATCTCGTTGGTCTCCTGGGGTACGACTGCTTCGACTTTATAAAACAGCTCATGAAACAACGTCACATGATTGCCTACTGCACAATGCTGGCGTCATCCCAATCAGAATCTGATCGTCAGAAGATTCGAGAGAGCATGAAGGACGATCCAGCACTGGCGAAGATACTACGACAGTTGGACACTGGTAAAAATGATGACGATGGTAATGAGACGATGGAGGCGAGGGCTCAGAGGAAGAGACGAGAGGAGAAAGAGGATTTGGTGGGACCTGGGGGACAGGTTCAAGGCACCAGGAATATTGTCGATCTTGAGGATCTAGTTTTTCCTCAGGGTAGTCATTTTCTGCCTACCGCCAAGTGCACCTTACCCAAAAAAAGTTTCAGGAAGAAGAGGAAAGGGTATGAAGAGGTGCACGTGCCAGCGCTCAAACCAGAACCTTTTGGCAAAGATGAGAAACTGTATCCCATCGATCATCTACCCAAGTACGTTCAGCCGGCGTTCGAGGGCTTCAAAACACTTAACAGGATCCAGAGTAGATTACATAATACAGCTCTCAACAGTGATGAGAATCTTCTGTTGTGTGCACCCACTGGAGCTGGAAAAACGAATGTTGCTCTATTGACAATGATGAGAGAGATTGGAAAACACATCAACGATGATGGGACAATTAATGCCGATGAGTTTAAGATCATATACATCGCTCCAATGCGTTCCCTCGTACAAGAGATGACTGGTAATTTTGGTAAACGTTTGGCCAGCTACAATATCACAGTTTCAGAGCTCACTGGGGATCACCAGCTGACTAGAGAGCAGATAGCTGCCAGTCAGGTGATTGTCTGCACCCCTGAGAAGTGGGACGTCATCACGAGAAAGGGTGGCGACAAGACCTTCACATCTCTCGTGAGATTAATCATCATCGATGAAATTCACTTGCTTCATGACGAACGAGGACCGGTCCTTGAAGCTCTCGTTGCCAGAACCATAAGGAATATTGAGACAACCCAAGAAGATGTGCGTCTTATTGGATTGTCTGCCACTCTTCCCAATTATAAGGATGTCGCTGTCTTTTTGAGGATAACCCCAGAGACTGGATTATTCTACTTCGACAACAGCTTCAGGCCAGTGGCTTTGGAGCAGCAGTACATCGGTGTCACTGAGAAAAAGGCCATCAAACGATTTCAAGTGATGAATGAAATTGTTTACGAGAAGACAATGCTGCATGCTGGTAAAAATCAGATATTGATATTCGTTCACTCGAGGAAGGAAACTGGAAAGACAGCCAGAGCTATCAGGGATATGTGTCTGGAGAAAGACACCCTCGGGGCATTTTTGAGAGAGGGCTCAGCATCGATGGAGGTCCTCAGGACTGAAGCTGAGCAGGTGAAAAATCAGGAGTTGAAGGATCTGTTGCCTTACGGATTTGCAATTCATCATGCTGGAATGACCAGAGTCGACAGAACTCTTGTAGAGGATTTATTCGCTGACAGGCACATTCAGGTTCTCGTCTCCACAGCAACACTCGCTTGGGGTGTTAATTTACCTGCTCACACTGTCATCATCAAGGGAACCCAGATTTATAATCCTGAGAAGGGACGATGGGTGGAGCTTGGGGCTCTCGATGTACTCCAAATGCTGGGACGTGCTGGCAGACCTCAGTATGATACCAAGGGAGAGGGAATACTCATAACTAATCACAGTGAATTACAATATTACTTGTCCCTGCTTAATCAGCAGCTGCCAATTGAGTCCCAGATGATAGGAAAAATGGCGGACATGTTGAACGCTGAGATTGTCCTCGGGACTATCCAGAATATCAGAGATGCTGTCAATTGGCTGGGGTACACTTACTTGTACATTAGAATGCTCAGGAGTCCCACTTTGTATGGAATCAGTGGTGATAAGATCAAAGAGGATCCACTCCTAGAACTCCATCGGGCTGACCTCATACATTCTGCTGCTATTCAACTCGATCGAAGTGGACTCATTAAATATGACAGGAAATCAGGGAATTTCCAATCCACTGAACTCGGTAGAATAGCTTCTCATTATTACTGCACCCACGAGACAATGTCCACGTATAATCTTCTTCTGAAGAGGACATTGAGTGAGATTGAATTGTTTAGGGTGTTCTCACTCTCTGGTGAATTCAAAAACATCAATGTCAGGGAGGAGGAGAAGCTGGAGCTGCAGAAACTTATGGAGAGGGTTCCGATTCCCATCAAGGAGAGCATTGAAGAACCCAGTGCTAAAGTCAATGTACTTCTTCAAGCTTATATATCTCAGTTGAAGCTCGAAGGCTTTGCTCTGATGTCTGATATGGTTTTTGTGACTCAGTCAGCCTCTAGGCTGATGAGAGCCATTTTTGAGATTGTTTTGTTCCGCGGATGGGCACAGCTCGCTGACAAGTGCCTGTCATTATGTAAAATGATTGATAGGAGGATGTGGCAATCGATGACACCTCTTCGTCAATTCAGAAAAATGCCAGAGGAAGTTGTCAAGAGGATCGAGAAAAAAAATTTTCCGTGGGAGAGGCTTTACGATCTCGGGCCGAATGAAATTGGTGAGCTCATACGAATGCCAAAACTTGGAAAAACAATTCACAAATATATTCATCAGTTTCCAAAACTCGATTTATCAACTCACATACAACCTATCACGAGATCGACGTTGAGAGTTGAATTGACGATAACTCCAGACTTCCAGTGGGACGAGAAGGTTCATGGAGCCTCAGAGGCATTCTGGATTCTCGTAGAAGATGTTGACTCCGAAGTCATTCTTCACCACGAGTTTTTCTTACTCAAGGCCAAATACGCGAGTGACGAGCACTTGATTAAATTTTTTGTGCCGGTATTTGAACCTCTCCCACCGCATTATTTTCTCAGAATCGTGTCAGACAGGTGGATAGGATCAGAGACACAGTTGCCAGTGAGCTTCAGACACCTGATTCTCCCAGAGAAAAATCTCCCACCAACTGAATTACTGGATCTTCAGCCACTGCCAATTACTGCCCTGAGAAATCCCAAATTCGAGAGCTTGTACTCGGATAAATTTCCACAGTTCAATCCCATTCAGACTCAAGTATTCAATGCAGTTTATAATTCCGATGACAATGTCTTTGTGGGTGCGCCCACGGGCTCTGGGAAAACAATAATAGCAGAATTCGCAGTGGCTAGATTATTATCTCAGAAATCTGACGGCAGGTGTGTTTACATGGTGAGTAAGCAGGCACTTGCAGAGCTAGTCTACACAGATTGGCTGGTGAAATTCAATCATCGATTGGGTTACAAGATAGTTATGCTAACAGGTGAGACTGGTACAGATCTCAAGTTAATAGCAAAGGCCCAGATTATCGTAACAACAGCTGACAAGTGGGACGTGCTCTCACGAAGATGGAAGCAACGTAAAAACGTCCAGAACATTCAACTCTTCATCGTCGACGAGCTGCAGTTGATTGGAGGTGAGGAGGGGCCAGTTCTCGAGGTGGCTTGCTCAAGAGCCAGATACATTGCCCTCCAGCTGGAAAGACCCACCAGAATAGTTGCCCTGTCAGCTCCCCTGGCAGATGCCAAGGACGCAGCAGCTTGGCTAGACGCACAGGCAGCAGCAACTTTTAATTTCCATCCATCAGTCAGACCAGTTCCCCTGGAGCTTCACGTGCAGGGTATCAACATCACTCACAATGCCTCTCGATTAGCTGCCATGGCAAAGCCCGTTTACAATGCCATTCTTCGTCATGCCCCCCATAAGCCAGTTATTGTTTTCGTACCTACCAGGAGGCAAGCAAGACTGACGGCCTTTGATCTGCTGACTTTCGCCGCTGCCGAGGGACAGAAAACCAAATTCTTCCATGCTGAAGAGGCTGACATTAAACCCTTCCTCGATAGGATGTCAGATAAGACGTTGAAGGAGACTCTCTCCCAAGGGGTTGCGTATTTACACGAGGGACTCTCCAGTGATGATCGACATCTGGTCGAGCAGTTGTTCGAGAGTGGAGCAATTCAGGTGGCTGTTGCCACTCGAGATCTCTGCTGGGGACTTGCCATCAGTTCACATCTTGTTGTTATCATGGATACTCAGTGTTACAATGGAAAAACTCATGCCTACGAGGATTATCCCATTACCGATGTCTTGCAAATGGTTGGAAGGGCTAATCGACCACTTGAAGACGACGATGCTAAATGCGTGCTGCTTTGTCAAAGCTCGAAGAAAGATTTCTTCAAAAAATTCCTGAATGAACCGTTGCCAGTGGAGTCTCATCTGGATCACAGGCTTCATGATCATTTCAATGCCGAGATTGTCACCAAAACAATTGAGAATAAACAGGACGCTGTGGATTACCTCACGTGGACATTCCTCTACCGAAGATTAACACAAAATCCTAATTATTACGGTTTACAGGGGGTGACCCACAGGCATTTGTCAGATCATCTGTCAGAGCTAGTGGAGAACACTCTTGGGGATCTGGAACAAGCCAAGTGTGTGGCAATTGAGGATGATATGGACACGTTGCCATTGAATCTTGGCATGATCGCTGCTTACTACTACATTAATTACGCAACCATTGAACTGTTCAGTCTGTCTTTGAATAACAAAACGAAGATACGTGGCTTGCTGGAAATAATAGCAGCAGCTGCTGAATATGAGAGTGTTCCAGTGAGACAGAGGGAGGAGAATCTTCTGAGGAGTTTGGCTCAGAGGTTACCACATGCACCACAAGCCCAGAGAATGGCTGATCCTCATATCAAAGCGCAATTGCTGCTGCAGGCTCATTTATCCAGGATCCAGCTCGGCCCAGAGCTCCAGAAGGATACTGAATTGGTTCTCAGCAAGGCCATCAGGCTGATTCAGGCGTGTGTCGATGTTTTAAGCTCTTCAGGCTGGCTAACACCTGCTGTCGCTGCCATGGAGCTCGCTCAGATGGTCACTCAAGCCATGTGGTCCAAGGATTCTTATCTCAAGCAGTTGCCTCACTTCACAGCTGAGACCATCAAGCGGTGCACTGATAAGGGAGTGGAGAATGTTTTTGATGTTATGGAGCTTGAGGATGAGGATAGAAATAGACTTCTGCAATTGACTGATGCACAGATGGCTGATGTTGCTAAATTCTGCAATCGATATCCCAATATTGAGATGTCTTATGAGGTGCAGGACAAGGATAGGGTGTACAGTGGGAGGACTGTCAATGTTGTGGTGCAGCTGGAACGTGAGGATGATGTCACTGGACCTGTTGTTGCTCCTTTCTTTCCACAAAGACGTGAGGAGGGCTGGTGGGTCGTCATTGGAGATCCCAAAACCAATTCATTGCTGTCCATCAAACGACTCACTCTACAGCAGACTGCAACTGTCAAACTTGATTTCGTTGCTCCCACACCTGGACAACATGGCTACACACTCTACTTTATGAGTGATGCGTACTTGGGATGCGATCAGGAGTACAAGTTCAATATTAATGTCGGGGAGTATGAGTCAGAGGGAAGCTCTGCCTCTGACTCTGAGTAAATTTTCTTTTTCTACTATAAAAATTATTGAGATGATCCTTTAGTATCTATTCGTGAAGTTTTTAGATTTAGGATTCAGTGAATGTTTCTTACTGACGAACTGTGTACAGATATCGTGGGAAAATTCAATTGTAATTATGATTCAGGATATGAATAAATGGTTTTCGAATGAAAATTACAAATTGTGGATTTTTTTAATGCAATCTAGTTGTAATATTTTTATTTCTAAAAAATTAGATCCAATTTCAATTAATAAAAAAAAATTATTTTTATCGGAAACATTTTTTTGCAGTTGAAAAAATGGGATTTTACGTATGTGTAGAGGAATCTGACAGTAATTCTGCGCAGGCCCGCGGAAAATAATAAACGCGTGTTCATAACCCTAAAATACTGAAAAATAGAATTTCCTTGGAAAAACCTGATGATCACATCACCTCATCACAGAGACAGAATAGAATTGAAATAAAAGGTAATAGAAGACTACCTCTTGTGAATGATTAATAATTGCTGGTGCTCACGAATTAGAATCCCCAGGTCGTCCCCATCAACAATGACAGATAAACAAGAGCCAAACGATGAAATCTGCTCGATGTCCAAGAAATTCGAGGCGATAACAACAACTGATAAAAACTCCCACGATCGTGCAGGTGGCAATTCATCGCTAATAATATCTTCAATTCAGCAGGAAATGAGACAGGACAGCGAGGAGTTTTTCCTGAGTCGTGGAGCCAAAAAGGATATTCCAGAGAGAATAATATTTGTTGTGGACACTATCAGAGAGAATGACTGCACTCCCTTCGAGATAGGCTCTGGTGCTAAATTCCTACCTCTGGAGATGATAAAACGAGTCGTGGAGATATTTATCTGCGCCAAGGGCACCATCAGCAGGAAACACGAGTACGCAATCGTCGAGTTGACTGGTGATATTGTTCACTGGCTGTGTGACTTTACAGACAATCCCAAGTCCCTGATTAATCATCTGGACAGGGTCGAGGACGTGGCCCTGGAGGAGAACTCCAGGGGCTGTGACCTGACTGAGTGCTTTCAGCTGATTGTTAAGAAAATCGATCTGGAGTGGAGCTCCAGGGAGCCCAATTCACTCACCAGAGTTATCCTTATTTACTCGAGGTCACACTGTGTTCCAGGATTCTCGGATCCCACAAGTTTTCGTACTCTCATGGAAAATCCACATTTTTTTACTGATGTCGTTTACGTGCATGAGCCTGTCACGGATGAGAACGAGTGTGAAGAAATCTACACGAAACTTGGGGAGCTCGATGTCAAACAAAATTCTTATATTTTTGAGGTTGGCAGAAATGCTGCTGCTCTCCATAATACGATGGCCAAATTACTGGCTCATCCTCTCCAACGACCTAAGCAAGATGACACCAGCTACGTTCCTCAGTACTTAGAGACACATGATATTCAGACTAATGTTTGAAAATGTTTTTGTCAAGTCGTGGAATCGTTTGTCTTGGAAAGCCAATTCTATTAAATTAGAGGACATTCTTGGGAATTTTTTGAATTTTATTTTCAAAGAGTTCTCGGATAATTTTTTTCAAGGAATTTTAATGAAATCCAATTCCACAGAAAAATGTAAAGACTTGTTTCAGAATTTATTCTTTGAGTTTTGGGACTCGAACTCTTTCACCACTTTTTCATTGACTCCGAGGTTCTTGTGCTTTGTGTAAGAGAGGAGATTCGATTTTTTAAAGACTAAATTATAATATTCAATTGATTCGGTTTTTCGTTCCTTTAGATGGAGTATATTGTCAAATAATTACAGAGCTTTGATTCTGTACCTGGGAGACAGTGAATTGTATTGTGTTTGATTATGCAGGGCGTGGAGATGATGAAGGACCTGATCGATGAATAAATAGTATATGTTTCTTGATTAAATCAGTTGATATCAGTTTAATTATTTATCTTCACAAAATTTTTGCATTGTGGAAGGATTTAATTAATGAGTTCTTCTCTTTCTAGATTTATCCTCACGACTTCGAGATCTTTTTCTAGACTTGAATTTATGTTCATAATGTCTTTCCCTCGAATGGGTCCTCTCGTGCTTCTTATACTTTTTCTCTTCCTCTGAGTCTCTCCTTGAGGACTTCGAATGCTTCGAATGTTTCTTTCTTTGGCTACGATAATCGACATCAGACTCGTTCCTCGAAGAGATGTGATGGCTGTTTCGTACATCGGTCGATGAATTTCGTTTATGCCTGTGATGAAATTCACTCGAAGAATCTCTCGAGGACTCTTTCCGCGAATTTCTCTCTGGCTTTACGTGAATTCCATTTCTCGCGTCCGTCTTATGTTCCCGGAGATCCCCATTCCCCCGAACCTCTGCATCCGACTCGATTCTGTTCTCCTGATTTTTCTCAGCAAGATACTCCGACAACATCTCCATCTGCTGACTTATGACCTCTCGCATGATCTCAGTGTGCGATTTTTTGTTCGTGTGAACCCCACGATGTTTTGCTCTCCTTCGTTTCAGATTTCGCTCCTGAGCCAATAGCTCCAGATATGACGACGTCCTATTCTCATTTCCATTGCTGGGGAATACGTCATTTTAATGTGTCAAATTGTTTGTGAAATGAAAATTAGTAGCAGAAGTATTTGGATAGTAAATCAAAATTATTCCTCACGGTTTATTGAGATCTGCAATATCCTCTCCGATGTGTGGCTGCTCAGTGTGCGATACCACATAATCATAAAGAATTCTTCGTTCCTCGGGGGTGAAATCAGCCAGAAGTCTATCTGAAGTTCTGGGTATCAATCTGCAGCCACCTATTTTCATTTTGTGATAGAAATAACACAAAAATCATAATTTGCAAACGTCGGATTACCAAATTAATATTTTCAAAGGATATAAAAAAGGATATAGCAAGTCCTTGCAAGAATTATGATAATCATTACGGGCTGGAAAAAATTCAAATGTTTAGAGATCGAAAAGATGCAGAAGTGCAATGGCTCCTTCATATTCACCTGTGGGAGAGGCATTTTCGGGTTTTGAGACCTGGAAAATTTCTTCTATCGCCTCTTCATCTGAAAATAATAATTATGAGTATCTGCTCACATGAAAAAACAATACAATATTGTTGGTTTACAAAATTCTTTGAGTACCGAGTTTTATTGAGGTATTGGCATCAGGAGGCACTGAAGGAATCGATAGAGGTAAGTCATCTTTACTGTAGCCTTCAGCTTTCCACAAACAATTTTCCATATGTTTTTCTAGACTCTTTGGTAGTAATTCGTGGGATGAGTTGAAGGGACAAGTCACCGTCTGTTCAATCTAATAATATAAAATTAATTTATGTTTATGAAATCATTTTTGGATAGCACAGATAACCTACATTTACAGAATCATTACTCCATCCCAAGTCTGACACAATTTCATTTAATAGATTTTTCGTTTGTATAGTAAAACTTGTGAGTTTATTAATCTCTTCATCGCGATTAGCCAGCATTTTTTCCATTGCTAATTAACAAAAAAAGCACAGTGAACTTTGATTTCAAACGAGACGTCGCAGGATCAGCTGATCGCTCCGCTCTACTCGAGCGAAAGAAGGGGCAACAAACTGCCCTGACCACGTGTTACGTTGTTGAACCCCAATTGTTTCTGGAATAAATATCGAAAAAATGGCGAAAATCGAGGAAAAATCCATAAATCTGTCAGAAGAAACCATCGGATTTATTGGAGGCGGAAATATGGCACGTGCTATAGCCGTTCCTCTAATTAAAAAAGGTCATCTTTTTGCATAAATGATGGGTTTAATTTTCAGTGGAATAACGTTATTTGTATTATTTCTAGGATTTGTACAAGCTAAAAACATTTGGGTATCTGCTCGCACCGAGAAAACCCTCGAGTTCTGGAAGGATTTGGGGGTGAACACCACTTTACATAATATCGAGGTTTGCACAAATTGTCAGACTGTTGTTTTAGCAGTGAAGCCACAATTTTTGAACGATGCTCTGCGCACGATAGAATTCCCAGCCGCCGACAATTTGTGGATTTCGGTAATCGTAGGGATAACCATTGACTCATTAGTAGAGGTACATTCTTTATTAATACATAAATTAATTAAATTAATGGTAATTCGAATGAACGGGCCAAAATTTGCCAAATTTGCAAATTTCCCTTTACTACTGAGATCCATTGTATGTATGTCTGTATCATGTAGAGATTTCTAAGGTACACGCACCAAAAGAATGTGAGACTTATCCGGACACTACCAAACACTCCCTTAGCTGTTGGCAAAGGCATCACCGGTAAATATTTTACTTGCCGATATTTACGAATTGAATATCAATGAATGTATACTTTCAGTTTACAGTTGCTTACCAGAAGTAATTGATTCCAGAGACAGTAAACTCGTAGAGGCCATTTTTTCAAAAAGTGGAGTTGTGGAAAGAATTGATGAGAGTATGATGAATGCTGTGAGTGCTTTGTCTGGATCTGGACCAGCCTACGTACGTCGAATATAAAATACTCTTGAAGACAATCTCTCTTAATTTTAATCCGGAATTACTATCACTATTTTGTTAACAGGCATATCTCATGATAGAAGCCCTAGCTGATGGGGCTGTAAAAAATGGAGTTCCTCGGGCCTTGGCTAATAAACTAGCTGCGCAGATGTTCGTCGGTGCTGGCGAAATGGTATTACAAATGGGTAAACACCCTGGACAGCTTAAGGATGAGGTTTGCTCTCCGGGGGGTACAACAATCGCTGGAGTTCATGCACTGGAAACTTCTGGAGTGAGGGGTTCACTCATGAATGCCATTGATGCTGCAGTTCAACGAGCGAATGAATTTAAATCTTGAACATTTTCACATTCCACTGTATTTCTTTCAAATAGTATACATTCATGATTTTTTATTATCAACACTTTCTTAGTTCTTAGTCGAAAATGGTAATTACCAATTCCAAAAAATGTATTTACAAAAGCAGAATGAATGTTATTTTAAATTCAATAACTCGTTGATATTGAAAAACGTAAAAATGTCGAATACCTTCTTGGGTTATTTACAATTAAATAAACATTTAGAGAATCTTTAAAAATCATTTCTTGGTGTATTCGACGCATCTGGATGGATCTGTCGGATAATACTCCTGGCACTTAGTCATCAATCTCTTCAACGCTTGAATGTACTTCCTCTGGGTTTCGTCGTTCATCACGTGAGCCACATTCTTCGAAAAAATTTTCTCTCTTCCTGTACGTGCGTGAATACCCACCATCGTGACACCAATAGGCCAGGGTGAGTTACCAATGGCCATCTGAAGGTATGCATCACTGGCCAAAATATAATTTCGCTCCAACAAATGTTTTACGATTTCAGTCAAGCTGTCAGTGATATCCTCCGGCAGTGACTTATTCTTCAACTTCCTGAGGAGGGGTTTAAGATACTCTCTAGTCTGTGCGTACGTTGCACTCGCCATTTTTCCCCTCGTGCTCATTTTCTCAGCGGTTCCTCTGCTGTTCAGGTGATTTCCCCACACCAGCACCAGAAACTGAAGAAATTGCGTGATGACACTCATGTCGAAGTCTCTGTCTCCCCTGTTTAGTTTGGCAGACATCTTCTGGATGTCCTCGTACGTTATCTCCTCGTCAGGCACGTTGACATCTCCTTTCCTGTCACAATTGTTCGGTTTCGAAGAGGAGAGCAGTTCGTTCAGATACGCCTGGTCCACCTGCTCCATCGCCTCTTGGAAGTCATTTCTGAATCCTTTATTGACTTCTGGCTCGAGAATTTCGCATTTGCGAAGGCGTTGGAAGGCCTCGAGCTCAGACTCGCCGAATAAAAGAATGGGTTCACTGCGTTCACGCAATCTCCTGATGACTTCTGGCCTGGACAATTGCTGGTGCTCCACTGTATTCTCAACAGACTGCTCCGAGTTTCTGCTGACTACTGGATTTTCAGGATTATTTGCACTGCCACTACTCTTCGCTGTTGCTGTCTCCTTGGCGATAAGATCACCTCGTCTGAAGTATTTTTTGTTTCCAGTCTGGGGACAATAATATATAATATAAATATTTCCAATGAGCCTGATCATGCCATTTTTTTCAATTCAGAAATACTTACAAGAACATTACTCTCTTCCAATTGCTTCCGTTTCTTCATTATCTCCGCCTTCAAAAGGTCCATTTTTCAATTAAATTTGAGACTTAAAAAAAAAATAATCACAAAACTCAGGTTTGTTTTTATTTACAATGCTTAATTGAGAGGTTAGCCTGATATTTTATCACATTCGATTTTTTACACTATCACCTATTATTCAGAAATAATTAATATCCTTATAAAATCGTTTATTGGTATTTTCTATTAACAAATTACTGCGTTATTGATAATTAGTCTAATGAATTTAATTTTTGCTCGACAAATATCGCGCAGGGCAAATTTTTGAATCGTCCGCTTGGCAGCACAAGTCGTCCGCCATCAAATTAGTCCTTGGCGCCGCAAAGTCACAAAGCTTTCCGAATCAAACAGTGAAATATCGTGTAAAATCTGTGTTCCTGGTGAATTGGACATTCCTGGACCTCAAAGGTTGATCCTAGTGAGTTAGTCCATAAGTAAATACTCGGATCAAGCCCGAGCTTGATCATTTTTCTCGTGATAATCCGATCTAATCGAAAAATAACGTGAGAACGGGAAAAACCGCGGGATAATGGGAGTGAAAACTATTGCTTCTTTGTTATTTATCCTCGGGGTGCCATGAAGGTGATTCTCGAGTTTTTCTAGTTGTTTAATTAATATTTATCGAGTAATTAATTTGAAGCATGATAGAGGACGTCTTTGTCTTGGAGTGGGAGAATTTTTCAAATGGCGGGATAACGAAAGTGGGGGCGGTTGGCGGTTGCTTCGTTGTTCTTTGTGTTCGGGGTGCCGGTAAAATTATTTGTGAAGTTAC